CCCCAAAACCCCAAAACCCCAAAACCCCAATAAACATAAGCTTAATTGAAACCATGAAATATATTAAAAATTACAGAGTGCCAAATATGAGGAAATTAGAGTTTTAACCAAAGTTATCAAAATGCCAAAGTTCAACTAGAAATTAGTTTCCTCCAATTATTTTAACCTTGCCAAGTTGGTTTTCTTCAAAGATTTGTTCAGCTTCATCTTGGTCCACTCCACAGTATTCCATATCTACTTCTTTGAGACTTAACCTTAAATCTTGAGAACTTGCTAACCCTTGTACCAAGTTATTGAACTGATTGAAGTTGTTCTCCCAGTCGCTATTACCAGAGCGTCCAGATCCTTCTAAATCTAGTTCCTGGATTTGACAATTTGTAAGGGCCTTTGACAAATCAGGAACAATTGGAATAGACAACCGGCAGTCAAACAATCTTAACACTCTCACATGCTTGTAAGCTACCACCAGCCTCTTTAGTTGAGGAAGGCCAATGCGGAAACGCTGAAATGTAACTATTTGGGCTACTTTGGAACTGAGCCTGGTCAGGGAGTTTAAGTAATTGGATCTTTTCAGATTTATTTTATTCCTGCATTTAAAATAGAGCCAATTAGTTTTATTTGGGAATAAAGATTCTAAAAAATTTGCTAAATACCTATTTTTAGAATCAACGTGATCAAAAGCAAGAAAATTTATATCAAAGAACTTGAGATTCTTGAAACTTTGTGCAAACTTCACATTTCGAAAAATTTTGAAATCAATCCAAAATATCCCGTTTATTGAATCTTCTTCGGAGTCTGAACCCAACTGCTCAATTTCTTCTTTGCCTAAAACATTACAGAGAGTGCTCTGGCATCTGGCAATATCTTCCTTCTTGGTTTCTGCCAGAACAGACTTCTCTAGACTGAACAATTAGAGGGGAATGAGGATAGGATGAATGTCAGAATTCGTCAGAAAATTGGAGTTGGGGATGGAAAATGCTAATTGGGATTTTGAGAAATGCCAAGTTTAATTAATAGGGAAATGTTATATGTGGAGGTGCCAAATAGATTTTAGAGAGGTAAGGCTAACAGATTCTCTTTAGTTTATCAGGAACTTCTCGGTCAAGAAATTTTCAATGAAATTATTATAGAAGTGGGTAAATTTTGGTTAAACATTAAAGCTTTGGGACTTGCTACAAATTTGAGAGTAAAAATTCAGGGTACTCTAAAACTAAGCTCTCAGTTACCTGATTTTCTGAGTGTTCTCTTCTTCAATATCTTTAGTAATACATTCCATTTTACTATTATTATTATAAAAAATTAAAATTAAATTTTATTTTCAATATGTATGTAGAGGAGTGGGGTTTTGGGGTTTTGGGGTTTTGGGG